GGGGAGTGGGAGGCTGTGTAGGGGCTGGATTACCTGTCTGGCTGTCGAGACACCTTGCAGAGGGCACTGGCGGGACCAGAGCCTCGCACAGCTGCTGTTGCTATTTAAAAGTTTAAGTTGTGGGCTTTCGCTTTGATGTATTTCTGCTCAACATTGTGGGTGTGTGGTGTTGGGGTGTGTGTGTTGAGGTGTGTGTCTACACCCATTAATGTAAAAGAAAATCTTCCTTCTGGCTGGAATAATCCTTGTTCCGATAGTGAGCACATTCACGTTTGGGCTGCTGTGGTCTTGCGTTAGACAGCTGTGGATGGCACAGTGCTACTGTTTGACGTTTGTTTTGCAGTGATGATAAACTCAGTGCGACTTTGTAAAAATAGAGCCCTGGCAAGGACAGATGCAGTTGTGCCATTCAGAAATTAATGTGTGTTTCTGAACATTTTAATATTTATATGGTTAGTTTCATTTTTCAGTGATCAGTTTTAGGGAGTGCTGACAGTTGTCTGATGATGTATGGTTTGCTGTTAGATGATGTTTGCTATACGTGGTCCATCAGTAAAAGGAGCACTTGGCAAGTGTTTCTGTGTTTACTGTTTTCTGTTTTTTCCCCTTTTTCCCTTTAAACTGTCACATGTCTAACAGCTACCTAAAGCGTGACTTGGTACCTTTGACAGCCTTTGGAGGAACTGCTGATAGGAGCATGTTACTGCCTGATTAGGAGGGAAAATTAAGGCGGGGGCGCGCGCAGATCTGTACGTCATCGGATGCGCCGTAATTTTGACGTTGGATGCTGGCACGCCTGCCCAGAAATGAACGCTGGCAAAAGCCCATCTGTAGTTTAGGAACTAGGCATTCTGCTAAGTGCAACTTAAAAACAAGGAAGCATTTTAGGATAGGATTAGTAAGGATTTAAAAAAAGAGGGACTGAAAAGCATGCAGTTTCGTAACTGTCTTGTTTTAAAGTGTGCTTTTTTGCTTCCTGGAGTTTTGTCTATATCTTCCAAAATGATCAACAGAAACAATTACTGCCAACTTGGTGCCGAGTTTTTGAAAAGATGTTATGTTCAGCTGGCTTATTTAAAAGCTACATTGAAATGAGCTGTATTGCAAATGTCTGGTTAATTGTGACTTGGGTTGATGAAGCAGCTTCTAAATACATCCGATTGAGTTTAACGGAAGAAAAATGTGAAGTCCAGATCTTTTTCGGAAAGGGGGTGGAGGCAGATAGATGAGGGAAGTAGGGAGTGTGATATTAAATGAGGATGAGATCTAGACAGATTTGAGGTCCTTTTTGTATCTGTAAGAGTGGAGTGTTGTTACTATATTGTGTAGATTTTAGGCTAATTTTGTTTGTGCTAGCATTCATTAGTGTTCCACTGTTGTATTACTGGCTGTGCAGCCCCAAGGTCACTGGGTGGCAGGTCAGGACCACTTATCTCTTGAGAAGCCTGTGGATTAGGGTTTAAGACCTTTGGTCCCTGATACCCACCTTGTGTCTCTAATATGCTGCCTATAGTGAGTCAAGTTCACTTGTGTATAAATAAGCATTTAAACTGCCTCCTGGGGGTAGCAGTTGTAGAAATGCTAATGCAGAAATGGTTCCGCTGGCATTTTAGCCTCTCTAGTCTAGACCTGGTTGGAGCAGGGTTAGACAGTGACTGTCCTGCAATAGAGCTGCCACCGCTGAAGCTGCATGGGTGGAAGTTGAACTGTGGGAATTCTTAGCAAAAAATGTTGGTCTAGACAGCGTGAGTGAGCATATTTTGGAAGTGTGTGTGTGTGGAGTTAGATTGGCAGACAGATATACAGCAGAGCCTGGTCATAGTGAAAGCTGGTATTAAAACACTGTTCTAGAAGTGGAACAAAGGTACCTATGTGCTTCAGTGTATTGTAGTATGTAAACTTCTGTTCTAATACACCTGTACCTGCTTACAGTCAAGTTCTGCTGTGGAAGACATGACTTCAGTATAAGGGGATTCCCTTTACTGTGTCACTGCTGCTAGGACATATGTGGTTCTCAGTCTCAGTTCCTTTTTCAATGTCTATTAAATGACTAGTAGAATGCATCTGGCACAGCATTGGTTACATCAGTTACAAAGCTATAACTGATAAGATATGTGACACACGTGATCACTTTAATATGCACACCTGATAAAGGAAGGATCTATTTTTAAAATCTAGATTTTCTACTCCTTATTTTAAATTTCTGTTTGGAAATCTCAGTGATGATTGAAACATTTTGTATAAGAGATACTATACAAAACTGATCTCCAAATGCGTTAGAGTTATACCATTATGGACACAATTTCTCTCCTTTTGCTATTATTTAAGAGCCATAGGGCAAGGAAGAAGTGATTTGGGGGACATGTTCCTTTGAGCATCTTTTGAAAGATACTAGAAAAATAACCCCAGAGCAAATAGAAATGTTAATGCCAGCCATAGAAAACCACTGCTATTTTGTAGCTGCAAAATCCCTCAGCTAAAACGTGACTTGTAAAAGTGAAAGAAATGGGGATAATCTTAGCATGTCTTGTTTTCCATCCCCAAAAATAGAGGCTGCATGATGTAGTGTTTAAAGCACAGGACTGTAAGTCAGAGAGACCACTAGTCTGTTCCTCCTTGCTCTGCCACTGACTAGCTATGTGACCTCTGTCAAATCAAGTCAGTGGGTCAACATCAATTTAAAAAATCACTCTTCACTTAAATGAGTGTGTGTGGGGAAACTATCTACTATTGTTGCAAGTATGGCGGTTGTGTGGTCTAGTGCAGTGTTTCTCAACTTTTTGATACCAGGGACTGGCTTGCTGCCTTCCTGAACTGTCAAGTATCAGGGGGTAGCCGTGTTAGTCTGTATCTACAAAAACAACAAGGAGTCTGGTGGCACCTTAAAGACTAACAGATTTATTTGGGCATAAGCTTTCGTGAGTTAAAACCTCACTTGGAGATCTCAGGGGCTGGCGTTGGTCCACAGACCGGTTGTTGAGAAATACTGTCTAGTGGACAGGGCACTGAGGAGGAAGTCAGGACACCTGGGTTCTACTCCCAGTTTGGCCACTTACCTGCCGTGTGCTGACAGTGGGCAAGTCACTTCCCCTCTGTGTCTCTTTCCTCCCAACCTTGTCTCTTTGTCTATTTAGACTGAAAATAATTCAGAGCAGGGACTGTCTGTTTTTTTTTTGTCTGTACAGCACCTGGCACAATGGGGTTCTCATCTCAGTTGGGGCTTTTAGAAGCTACTATAAATACAAATAATAACTTCAAAACCATGATCTTGCAACTACTTCCTGCAAGTGACCCCCTTGCCTATGCAAAAATTCCACTGATTTCCTATATATGTACTTTGTATATATGAAGTTGGGTGTCAAAGGTTATTTTACAGATTGTATGTTAATCAGGGTGTTCTAGGGACGATAGGGACAAGCAAAAATAAAACCTAGATGAGAAACTCATCACCAATTCCTATTAAGCTACAGTAATAAATATGAACAGATCAATTTCTTCAGCCTATAGAAGCCTTTGGCTTAGGACAGAGGAAAAAAGCAGCTCTTTGCTGATACTACTTGCATAAAATTAAGTTCCTACAGGGCCCTGCTTGTCTTGGAGAAGGAGGTGTTACCAGAATAAAGTGATGGCTGGGTTATACAATCAAAGATTATGGTACCATGTATTCTTTTTCCCTTTGACTGTCTGAATCCTAGGATTTCTGTTGTTCATCAAGTAGTGTAGAGACTCAAAGGACCTATAGAAAGTAATCACTCACAGCCCTGTCCTTTCAAAGGGAAAAAAAGCCCATTAGGATAGGATTACTGCAAACATGTTTGTCTACAGTAGGTTTTTAGATGTATCATTGGTGACAAATACTGTGTCATTGGTCGTTGATTTAGGAAGATTTGCAGAGCCATTTGCCAGTGCTTCAGGGGTTGTTTTTTGTTTTGTTTTGTTGAATAATCAACTTGAAAATAAATCTAATTTCCCTCCCCCCCCCCAAATGGTTTTGCAATAAAAGAACGTTGCATCATTTTTTGCACATCTTAATTATTAATTATCGGAGGCATAGCCGTGTTAGTCTATATCGACAAAAACGACGAGGAGTCCGGTGGCACCTTAAAGACTAACAGATTTATTTATGCCCAAATTTATGCCCAAATAAATCTGTTAGTCTTTAAGGTGCCACCG